CCCCAAATTTATGTTGGCTCTTTTGCTAGCTCTGAAGAACTTATAATCTAGCTTGAAAATTGCAATTAGGTACTGTCCACCAAGGCTTAGGCCGATGAGACATAGTTTTTTTTAATTTTAATCCTTGGGTGCGAGGTAGCATATACTTTTTTATCCTCAGTAGCTTTTTTTGGGGTTTGGGGGGGGAGGATAATGACAAGACCAAGGATAAATGTGGATGTGAGTCTAAACCAGGCACCCAAATCATTAGGGAATCAGAGGGAGCAGACATGTTGACTTAATGATTTCAATTTCTATCCTCAGTAGCTTTAGTAACGATAGTATGTAGTTTGTGATGTTTAAGCACTTGTCATTTCATGCTGTTAAATAGCCATATGTTTTGCTTCAATTATGTAGATACATAATTTGTGGTAAAAGTATTATGTTTAACTCGGTGAAGCTTTTAAAATGCAGGGAAAGCTAGATACTCTGCATATTTGGAGCTTAGTTATCATGGCATTGCTCATTAGGTTATTTCTAAAGAAGCCAGTTAAGAAAGGTGAGCACGTTTTAACTTCTGTGACTTTACTTTATGTGCAGCTTATAATGTGCGTTTTCCATCGCCATTCTTTCTTGAGCTAAATCAGAATATAATATAAGCTACATGGGATGCTATGAAGTTTCTTCAGTGGGCAGTCACTGCCATTGCGCTTATTGATGCACATTGTGCAAGATGGTCAAAATCTGAGACCAGAACCTCATTTAACCTCATTTCATATTTCATACACCTCTCAATCAGTAACTTCAGTTGTTCCTTGGGTAAGAAACCATTCACCTTACAATTGCTTTCTATAAATGAAGCTTTATCTATTACAGAAGGTAATAGTACTTGACAAAATTTTCAATATGGTAGTGGTTTTACATTATGTTTAAAGTTTAATCAGGCTCAAACCTAACAAATTCCATGCACAACGTAGATTGCTATATGGTACCACAGAAATACAAAAATAATATTTGCTCTACTGATTGTAGCTATAATGTTCTAGTTTCTTGTAAACAATCGACTAAAGTTCGATAATCATTGTCTGGTGATCTCGGGATCATATTGCATTTCCCTTGCGCTTGAGGATTATCTGAACAATATTTCAGCTTCTTGTTTTTACTTATCCAACTAGTGAATTTGTCCGCGCTTTGCGCGGTTATAAAGAATATTAGTAAATTTAGAATTAATATTTTTAAAGTTTAGTCATGATAGAATAGATGATTTTTTCTTGTATGTGCATATAAATTTTAAGTACAACAACATCAACAACATACCCAATATTATCCCGCACTGTGGGGTCTGGGGAGAGTAGTGTGTACGCGGACCTTACCCCTACCTTGTGAGGATAGAGAGGTTGTTTCCAATATACCCTCGGCTCAGGAAAGCATAAGCACCACATTAATGAAAATATAGACAAGAAGGGACAATACCAAAAAGCCATATAAAATCAGAATAAAAACAATAAGACATAAGGTGATCAATAATGCAAGAAAACAACGGTTAGGCATAAAAACCTACTACCAACAGAAAGCGAGACTGCGTGCCAATACTACTGTTATGAACACTCTAGACTACCTACTCTACTACCCTAATCCTCGACCTCCATACCTTCCTATCAAGGGTCATGTCCTCGGTTAGCTGAAGCTGAGCCATGTCTTGCCTAATCACCTCTCCCCACCTCTTCTTTGGCCTACCTCTACCTCTCCGTAGGCCCTCCAATGTCAACCTCTTGCACCTACTCACCGGGGCGTCTGTGCTCCTCCTCCCTCACATGACCAAACCACCTAAGCCGCGCTTCCCGCATCTTGTCCTCAATATGGGCCACACCCACCTTGTCGCGAATAACCTCATTTCTGATTCTATCTAACCTGGTGTGCTCGCACATCCATCTCAACTTCCTCATCTCTGCTACCTTCATCTTCTGGACATGAGCGATCTTGACTGGCCAACACTCAGCCCCATACAACATCGTTGGTTTGACCACCACTCTGTAGAACTTACCCTTAAGTTTCGGTGGCACCTTCTTATCACACAAAACACCTGAAGCGAGTCTCCATNCCTCGCGTCTCGCCAATCAATACAATATCATCTACAAATAGCATGCACCACGACACCTCCCCTTGGATGTGGCGCGTCAGTGCGTCCGAGTCCCCACCCACCGTCCTCACTCGGGTCTTTACTCCATCATACATGTCCTTAATCAACCTAACGTAGGCAATAGGTACACCTCTAGCCTCCAAACATCTCCACAAAACCTTCCTCGAAACTTTATCGTACGCCTTTTCTAAGTTGATGAACATCATATGCAAGTCCTTGTTTCTCTCCCTATACTACTCCATCAATCTCCTAACAAGGTGGATGGCTTCTACAGTAGAACGCCCCGGCATAAACCCAAATTGGTTCTCGGAAATAGACACACTCCTCCTCACCCTTAGCTCTACCACTCTCTCCCGGACTTTCATAGTATGGCTAAGCAGCTTGATACCCCGATAATTATTGCAATTTTGGATATCACCCTTGTTCTTGTATACAAGAACCATCGTGCTCCACCTCCACTCTTCATGCATCTTCTTCGTTCTAACAATGGCATTAAATGCATATAAATTTTAAGTAATTATATTTATTAATTATATAGATAATATTTTCATTGGAATTACATGTTATATGAACTACATTTTTCATTATCGAATCTACAAATCAGCAAAGAAAATTTTCATTTCTAAATATGTCTGTATATGTTTTATTTTGTTGAGAAAAAAATGAAACATCAAATGAAAACTAAAGAAACTAAAAACATCAAAAACCAAACGACCAACTTATTGTCAGTTATACTCATGACTCGTATGCCTTGAAATTTCGGGATTTGTTTTTTGCCAAGTGAAGTACATGATATCTACTTATATCATTTTTGCTTCAACTAAAATACTACTTTTAAATATAATTTACTTCAACTCAATTACTCATTCATAGATAGCCTAAAAAACCTTTAGCAGTCAAGAAAATTGCAAAGGCCTTTGCACCATTTGGATTGTGGACGTTAATTTGGGAAGATCAGTTTGTAACTACTAACGTGTTAAGAGAGAATAGTCTTTTTACTATTAACAGTACTTACAGTACTAATGTGCTGAGAGAGAATATCATAATTACTAACAAATACAAGTAGCTTGTGGTTCAATAATTCAGTAGGTATATATACCTCATACAAAATTAGTTCTAAAGAATAAATATTCTGTTGAATATGAAGTAGATCATGAACTAAAACATGTCAAGAAGAAAGTAAAATAAGGTTCGAAGTTAGAAAGCAAAAAGACCAGATACTATCATGTGGTTACCTTGACATGCTGATCTTATTTAATTTCAGGAACCCTAATTACATAGGTTAAAGATAATGAGTAAAGGTGCAACTAAGACTTGGACATTCCTTTTTTAAGTTTAAATGTAATTATTTGATCGTGACTTTTCCAGAGGCATAAGGATTGTACTTTTACGTTACCAAAATTCTCCTTTCTTATTTCATTTATGACGGAAATTATATGGAGCTATAATGGAAACGTTATTTCAGGCTTAATAATTGACAGATTGTTGTATAATGAGGATGCTTGTAGAACTAATGTATTTAGCATAAGCCAATAGATTGACTAAAAAAGAATACAAAGAAAAGGAACAACAAAAGAGAAATAAGAACCAAAAAGAAAAAGGATGCACAACTTTGTTTAATGAACATTTGGTAATCTAAATGAGTTGAACCTAGCTAGTCATTGACTCAACTAGGCCAAGTTATCACATCCTCATCTTCATGCATGTTACTTTTCCCCGTAGCTTAGCTTTAGCATCTCTCTCACCACAAGCTTTGAAATATTCCAGATGGCATCATATAAAGTAATGTGCAATTCCTCTAAAACTCCACAATATCCTTTCAAGTTTGGCCTTTGTTTCGCCGTTATGTCATCCATAAAGCAAATAAATGCACACTGAGCTTCTACACCCAGAGAATTTATCTTGTCGTGTGCATTTGAAGACTCAAACCCACAAAATTATAAATACCCATAAAATAAAATTTGGGGAAACACACCTGTCATGTTATGGTTATTAGAGCAGTAAAATTGAAATGTCAAAAAACAAAAAAGAGAATAAAAGATCAATGAACAGACAATATTTATGCCTTAAAATCAGCTTCCTCTCCTCCCATGGAAAAAAATAAAGTCCCAAGAGAGAAAAAACATGGAAAATATAACTCGCTGAACTGCATGTTTTAACATCTCAAATAATTGGAAACCAAAAGTTATGAAACTCAATTGCAGAAGGTTCTCTTTTTATTATATAGTATCAACATATATGCACAAAGATTATTTTTTTCCACTGAAGAGTACACTATGAACCTTTTTACCAGTATTCAGAAATTCTAATTAATTAACTCTAAAAAACTCCTACAGATTGCAGAAGTACCACACCTGATGACACAACTCTTTCCTACCTGCAACATCCAACAATTTAAGTGTCAATTCAAATGAAAAAATTACTACTACTAAAATCAGCTCACATATATGTGCCCGAAGCTACTACTTTCCAAGCTGTTGCTGAAACTATGCGGTATCATTCTTTTTGGCAGTTACAATAGGCATCCCACCACCACGATTCATTCGCTAACTGTTGCGATCCATGTTCAGGTGCACATCTAGTTTTAAAGTGAACTTGCTAGTTGCCACAGAGACTAAATGAAGATGATTTCAAAGCAGCACTCTTTCCGGCTAGCTTCTACATTCTGCCATTTTAAGTTGACTTGTTGGTTGGTGGAGCTTTATTGCTTGATCGTTATCCAATTCTTGTGCTTCAGCACATGAGCCTTTTGTACTAAATAGGCAGGAGGTGTAGAATATGAGCAGTTTCACTAATAAAACGGCTTGAGAACTAACGTCTTTTCATCTTTGATTTTCTTGAGTAACTGCCAACTTACCCTTTAATTGAGTAATTATTTAGGTATTTTTAGACTATTTAACTTAAGATAAACCAATAAAATAGTGAGAGAAAAGCCAAAAAAATGAGAAAAAAGATAAGTGACTTTCATGGCCTATGAGAGGTGCCACATCACATTTTTCATTCCCCCCTATATATATATATANTGTGTGTATGTATGTGGGTGTGCATGTATACAAATATGTACATCTAAATGTGTTTATAAAAAATAGTACATTTAAATGTGTGTATGTGTATTTCAGTTCTTGCTTGTTGCAAGCTTCAACAAGTCAGTTGGCTATCTCTTGTTGAACATAGATATTCCATGCTAAAAGGAAATGTTACTGGAAATAAGATGATCCAACATCTGTAGTGGTGCCGTTAGCTGAGTTGGAAAATAAGGGCAAATGTGTGCCAGTTTTGTAACGGCGATGACACAGTTGCCCCAACTTTAAACAGAGGGCAAAAGTAGACCATTTCGCAAACCACAAGGGCATTTTTGGACCTTTTTCCTTATATATTTGATCTACTCGAGACTATTTCATTAAAATCCGGTAAGAGAATTGTCCTTAAAGGCAAATTAGAGGTTTTCTTGAAACTAGAGGTTTTGTGAATCACCCTTACCCCTTCCCGGAAAATAACATAAGTGCAAACACAACAAGTAAACCTTGATCTCAACTTGTTGGTATCACCTATATGGATCCATTGCTTCTATTGTGTTATATTCATAGTTAAGTTCGAATTTGTTCCTAGAGATTGTAAGTCTTTTGAGACAATTTCCCTCAATGTAATTTTAGATCTACCTTGTCCTTTATATCCCTTATAGCACCTTAAGGCAACATAGTATCACCAATAGAAAGGTGCATTTAGAGGTTGACGTAGGACATGGCCAAACCATCTCAAACAAACTTCCATCGTTTTATTATTTATCTTTGGGATTTGCATTCTTTATTTAATGCGATCATTTCTCATCTTATTCGATCTTCTACCATCACGCATCTATCTTAAAATCCGTATTTCTGTGGTGCTCATCTTGTGGATATGTTGGGCCTTAGATGTTCGATGCATCACGTTAATTTAACATTAGCGGTGTCATACCCGTTCTATAAACTGGCATTTCACTTTATTAGGAATATTCATATTACATAGCAGTTCATGTACAACACATTCTTAACTTCATTGAAGTAACGAAGCACTATTCTTTTAAGATAAATGCTCACTTATTTTGTGGAAGATCTATTGGTTTTTACTTCTTTCCATATGTAGAAGGTAGAATAGTAGAAGACACTACTATCAATTGGAATTTATCGACATATCTTTCATGCTGATTGTTTTTGCATATTACAGAGTCTGTTCTAATTCTGCCTGCTTTTGGAGTTCAACTTGAGACTCAGTACGGAAGGTACTTACTGCTTCTGTTGTAGAGGTGAATGCTTTGCTATTTGCTTAAGTTAGTTGTACAATATAATTGTTCTATACTGGGCATCTAAAAGATGCTTTTAAAATCATATAGCTTGTCAGATATTCTGGGCATGGATCTATCATTTTGTGTCTGCTTTTTTAAAGATTGTTGTGCATACAGCTACTTATTTCTGAATCTCTTTCCTGAGATGAGGCAGCTACCATTATGGAAACCAGCAAAAGTATTTAGTGTAGTATTTTCGTTCTGTGCGTACCCATCTCTGTGTGCGCCGCTCAAGTAATTTTCCTGCATGAGATTGGACAGCTAAATCTTTTACGAGTACAAGTGAAAAGTGATTAATTTATTAGAACAACTTAAATATATTTTGATGACACATTGTCCATGAATCATGAGGGCACTATTGTTAAACTTTTTGTATCTGATCTGAGAATCTTCTAATTAGCCCTGTTTTTGTTTTTGTTTATTTCTAAATAAAATTTTGATTCAGCTCTTTGTATTACAGTGGGAAAACAGTTCGCCAGTTTGTCCCCATTAGCAGGATTTTGAAACCAGTGCTGACTGAATGTGTCACACCAGTTACCTGTTATTGGAGTCTGTCTTTGATTATTCGAGGGGAAGAAGAACTTATGCTAGTTTTCAAGGTGAAATTTATGCTCCCTGCTGTATATATTTTACAAATCCATGGCGACCTTAATACTTGTACCTTGGTAATAAATTATATTTAACATTTCAAAATGAAAATTCCCTGTCTGTAGTTTCTAAACCTGTTTACTTTTCTTTGTTACTTAAGAGTAGAACAAACTAATGGAGGACTTATACTCAACGCACAGGACTTGGTAGAGAATATTAGTTTGTTTTCTCTTGCTTACACAATCTGCTATATTCAAATATTATTTCCAGGAATTGCGTCCGCCAGTGAAGATGTTAGCGCCCATCTGGAAGGCTTTATGTGCTGCCATCGAATGTGGAGAATGCACGGAGGCAATTACATAGATAACACAAGTATAATCTCAACCGATTCAATGTTTATTAGTTTTTTTTTCTCAACACCTGTATTCATTACATTGTTAAGGTTGTAAATGGCATGATATAGTTCTCCATATTGTCATTACACATGCTTGCTGCAAAATGATAATCATATGAGCTGCTTACTGCATTGCAACCACTTTTCATGCAGGAGATTTCCTTATACAATTTTTGTCGACCTACTTTTCCTTTTAGATTACCTTCCAAGTGCAGATACCAAAGCTCCAGTTCCAGTTCATCCATATCAAAAGTTGAACCCTCCCTACAAAGTACAAACACTTTTGTTTCTCTAATATGATTCATCTTTTTCTGCACATAAAATACATCTTCTTCAACCTTTCCAAACAGGTGCTTCTATATTTTCAGCTGCGGGCACATGTTACATGATTAAGCCTACAATTTCTAATTATCTGCCCTTCACCTCCTTTTCTTTTTCCTATTAACTTCCACTCTACAAAAGATGTTCAGAAGCAGCAAGCACAAAGAGTCCACATTGAGGAGGGCTACGATATCATTCATTCCATTCCAGCAACAAAATATGGAGAAAATCATCAACGTTGGTCTAGTTGTTTGGAGGCATGCACTTTGTTCCACGCTACATGTCTCGGGGGAGTGGTAAAAATGTGTTTTAACTTTTGAGTTGGGAGTGAAGAGTGAAGATGGTGTATTATTTGGTACGTGTTCAAGAATTTATGCAAGTTTCGGAGCTTCATCCACTCACCGCCAATCAGCGTTTGACTATGGAAGTTCTCTTCAAATGACATGACTTTTCGGCTCAAACAGTCGTTACAACTTGACAAGGATTTTGCTACATTCTATTGTTTTGGGACATCGGAATGATTGATGACAATTAAAATAGAGTTTTACTTCTTTTTTTTATACGACTTACTCCATTATTTAAATTTTTAACTCATAAATCAAAACAAGTAACAATAGCACATGTATATACATGATGACTCGACACATACACATGCAACACAATTGTTTAGAAACTAGTGAAGAAGAGTAATGAGAGTTATTGTATACAGTCAGAATCGAGTCTGACCTTTTTATGACTAATCGATATTGGAACATGATGGTCCAAGGTTCATCATTGTAATATCGAGCCATGATGCGAAGTTAGATTGTCGAGCTCGAGACCCAGAGACCGATCAATATTGAGATCGGCCAAGATCGAGCTCGAGACCCAGAGACCGATCAATATCGAGACCGGCCAAGATTGAGATCGAGTCAAAATCGAGCTTGAGACCCAGAGACCGGCCAAGATTGAGATCGAGCCAAGAAACAAAAAAGCCGTTATAACCGCAATAGAGGAGAGAATCTTGGCGGAAATCACGACTTGAATCAAGGAAAAGCTAATTAATTAATCTATCATGGAATCCCCACTATGTATTTTTAATTATATCCAAAATAGAATTCTCCCACTATATTAAGAGTTGTTATCATTTGTAAGAGGGAGATTCATTCTGAGATATACAGAAAAGAGAGCAAATACTATCCTATGTTGGCTATTGATATTTATTCATATTGTTTTTTCTACCAATCATTCTTCATTCAATTTGGAGGTGATAAAACTTGAAGGCTTAGGCTAATTAGTTCATTCGGTTTGCATTCATTTCTTTTATAACTAATTTCGATATTCATTTACATATCTTTCCCGATTTGTATCAATTTATATCACGTATCCTTAGAACTACGTATAAATTCAACTCTATCCGTTTTTCGGGTAAACAGTTTGGCGCCCACCGTGGGTCTAAGGATAATAATGGTTATTTGGTACGAATCTCTGTAAAACGCACTATTTTACACTTGCTCTGGGAAGTATCTTTGATTTCTGGTTAAAAAAGACGAACTCTCAATTAATGGCCCTGCCTATCGATAACGAAACTAGCCATTAAGATGAGAATAACAACCTGACGCCGGGGAAGAAAGGCCACTCGTTGGCCCCGTTGGAACTCGGACCGTATATCCAATTAACGTTAATTCACATGTGGCCATTGAGGCGAACCAACATTCAGACCCCGAAAAAAATATTCATGGTGGAACTCGATCTGCAGTTCGAAACACCAAAAATATTGGAGAAGACGGGATCAGCCTGCGCATGATTTTCGAAATGTTGCAAGCTCATCAGGTAGCGATAGCTCAGTTGCAAAGCCAAACCCAGGCACCGAGCAGGCCCGAGCCCGGTCCACCCCAAGAAGTCACCCACAGAACGGGGCAAGCTATAGCAAGGTCAAATGAACAGGATTCGGGGACTAACCCCGAAATTATAAAGATGGTCGAGGAACAGACAAAACGGATAGAGTTAGGAGAAAAAAGGATTGAAGCAAACGACAAAAATATAGAAACTTATAACTCCAGGGTTGATCAGATTAGGGGGCATCACAAATATTGAAGGGTTTGGATTCCAAAAGGTTCGTACAAAAGCCCTTCCCCCCGAGCGCAGCTCCCAAACCGATTCCCAAGAAGTTCTGCATGCCCGAAATTCCTAAATATAATAAAACGACCGACCCCAACGAACATATCACCTCTTACACATATGCCATTAAAGGGAACGATCTAGAGGACGACGAGATCGAATACGTATTATTAAAGAAATTCGGGGAAACCCTGTCAAAGGGAGCAATGATATGATATCATAATTTACCGCCTAAATCTATCGATTCTTTTGCCATGCTTGCAGATTCTTTTGTAAAAGTACACGCCGTAGCCATAAAAGTCAAGACCAGAAAGTCGGACCTTTTCAAGGTAAGGAAAAAAGATAACGAGATGCTAAGAGAGTTCGTATCTCGTTTCCAAATGGAACGAATGGATCTACCACCGGTCACCGACGATTGGGCTGTTCAAGCTTTCACCCAAGGACTGAACGAACAAGCTCAATGGCTTCACGGCAGTTGAAGCAGAACTTGATTGAGTACCCGACTGTTACCTGGGCCGATGTACACAATCGATATCAATCGAAGATTAGAGTCGAAGACGACTAATTGAGTTCTGGGTCAGTTATTAAAAGGGACTTCGACCGAGAACCGAGGTCGAACAGGGACCGATACCGGCCGTATAGCGGAGATCGTAGGAGTAGCGAACCAGGACGCAACTCCGTACGAGGCGAAAGGAGAAGTGATCGAGGCCAAGGGTCTCGAGGGCTGATGAACAAAGATGGTTTCGACAGGCATACCTGACCTAAGGAAGCACCACGCTTATCAGAGTATAACTTCAACATTGATGCATCCGACATCGTGTCGGCTATCGGACGCATCAAAGATACTAAATGGCCTCGACCTCTGCAGTCTGATCCAGCCCACATAAATCCCAATCAAATGTGCAAGTATCATGGCACCCATGGCCACAGAACGGAAGATTGCAGGCAGTTGAGAAAGGAGGTAGCCCGGTTATTCAATGAAGGGAACCTTTGATAGTTTTTAAGTGACCGGGCCAAGAATCATTTAAAAAACAGAGAGTTCAATAGACAAAACGAACAAGAAGAGCCACAACACATTATCCACATGATCATCGGAGGGATCGATGTCCCCCAGGGGCCAGTGCTTAAACGCACTAAGATGTCAATTGTAAGAGAGAAGCGATCTCGAGCTCAGGATTACATACCTAAAGGAACCTTGTCCTTTAATGATGAAGACACAAAAGGAATCATGCAGCCTCATAACGATGCACTGGTAATATCTGTACTTATGAATAAAACTCAAGTTAAACTTGTGCTAATTGATCCAGGTAGTTCGGTCAACATCATTCGATCGAGGGTCGTAGAGCAACTCGGTCTACAGGACCAAGTCGTTCCCGCAACCATGGTACTAAACGGATTCAATATGGCATGTGAAACTACTAAGGGAAAGATAATTCTGCCAGTAAACGTGGCTGGGACCATCCAAGAAATGAAGTTCCACGTGATCGAGGGCGACATGAGGTATAACGCCCTATTCGGGAGGCCGTGGATCCATAACATAAGAGCAGTACCCTCGATCCTTCACCAGGTTCTAAAATTCCCAACATCAGAGGGAATCAAAACAATCTACGGAGAGAAACCAGCCGCAAAGGAAATGTTTGCCGTCGATGAAGTAATTCCGATATCAACACTCTCATTGACAAAGGGGTCAAATTCGAAGGAAAAATGGGATACCAAATAGCAATCACAAACATTGGCCTCGACCCAACTAGAGAAGCAGAAGACTAACGAAGATGATGATTATGGGATTCCACGATCCTTCGTGGTCCCCGATGATTCCGACACTACCAAATCAACGGTTGAAGAACTTGAGCAAATTAGATTAATCGAACTTCTGCCCGAACGAAAAGTATACCTGGGCACGGGGTTAAGTCCCGAGCTCAGGAAAAAGCTTATTCAATTTCTTATAGCTAACATGGACTATTCGCTTGGTCCCATCTTGACATGACATGGGTCCCACCGAATATCACCACTCATAGACTAAGCTTGGATCCGAAATTCAATTCGGTGAAGCAAAAAAGAAGGCCCCAGTCTGAAGTCAAACATGCCTTCATCAAGGACGAGGTAATCAAACTTCTCAAAATAGGATCCATTCGAGAAGTAAAGTATCCCGAATGGTTAGCAAACGTGGTGGTAGTCCCTAAGAAGGGAAACAAACTTAGAATATGTATGGATTATAAAGGCCTGAATAAAGCATGCCCTAAAAACTCTTTTCCTTTGTCTAATATCGATCGTATGATCGATGCCACGACCGACCACGAGAATCTCAATTTTCTCGATGCCTACTCCGGGGACAACCAAATACAGATGAACCCGGAGGATCAAGAAAAGACCTCGTTTATCACTAAGTACGATACCTACTGTTATAACGTAATGCCATTCGGTCTAAAAAATACTGGTGCAACTTATCAACGCCTAGTAAACCAAATGTTCGAAGAACAAATAGGAAAATCAATGGAATTTTATATTGATGACATGGTAATTAAGTCCCTGCGAGCAGAGAACCATTTAAAGTATTTGCAGGAAACTTTCAATATACTGAGGGAGTACAATATGAAGCTCAACCCCGAAAAGTGTGCATTCGGGGTTGGCTCGGTAAGTTTCTTGGTTCATGGTGTCCAATAGGGGAATCGAGATCAACCCCGATAAAATCAAAGCTATCAAAGATATCAAGTTAGTGGATAATGTAAAGGTCGTGCAGAGGCTAACGGGACGAATAGCCGCCATATGATTCATTTCGAGATCCTCAGATAGGAGCCACCGATTTTTCTCACTACTTAAGAAGAAGTGCAACTTTGCGTGGACTCCGAAATGCTAGCATGCCTTGGAGGAACTAAAGCGGTATTTATCGAACCTGCCGCTGCTTCATACCCCGAAAGTGGACGAATAGCTTTACCTGTACTTAGCTGTCTCGGAGATAACGGTAAGTGGAGTCCTGGTTCGAGAATAACAAGGTACGCAATTCCCTATTTATTATGTCAGTCGGACCTTAGGCGAGGCCGAAACTAGATATCCACACTTAGAAAAATTAGCGCTTGCTTTAATAAGCATCTCTAGGAAACTAAAACCATATTTCCAATGTCATCCGATATGTGTTGTAACAACTTATCCTCTTCGAAATATTTTACACAAACCCGAGCTTTCGGGTCGATTGGCCAAATAGGCCATAGAAATCAGTGGGTACGATGTCGAGTATCGACCACGAACCGCCATCAAATCTCAAATCTTGGCGGACTTCGTGGCTGACTTTATGCCGGCCTTCGTACCCGAGATTGAAAAAGAACTACTGATAAAATCGGGTACATCTTCGGGAGTCTAGACCCTCTTTACGGACGGTGCTTCGATCGCGATGGGGTTCGGACTAGGCATTGTACTAAAATCACCCACCGGTAATGTAGTTAGACAGTCTATCAGAACTACAAAATTGACTAATAATGAGGCCGAGTATGAGGCCATGATGGCAGGCCTCGAACTAGCTAAAAGCGTAGGA